CCCTCTCTCTCCCTCTCTCTCTCTCTCTCTCTGTCTCTCTGTCTCTCTCTCTCTCTCTCTCTCTCTCTCTGACACACACACTGGTTGCCTAACTGCTGTCTCTTAAGGATCAGGAGAAATTGAGCAGTTCCAGTGAACGTGTGAGACACAGTGACCTCCTGAGTCCAGATCTGTGTCCGGCAGAGGACAACGCTGGTGTCCCACGCCCCGAGTGGCCTGGAAGCCCTGGGCCCCCTGTCCTCTGGCTCTCAAGATGTCAGGCCCAGCACACATGGCTATGCCACTGGGAGAAGTGGCTGTGTACAGTGGGGGTCCCTTCCAGACTCGCATCCTCCAGAACCTGAGTCTGCAGAGCACAGCTCAGCTCCCAGGACTGCTTCAGTGGAGCACCCTGAGACCAGCAGAGGCCCCAGAGGCCCCCCAACTCCTGCCTCAGTGACCCCCCTAGAGCAGGGTGCAATATCGCCTGTGGCCTCTAGGTGGCCCTCCTGTTCTTGGACTCCAGCCAGATGGAAGTCAGCGACTTCAACACCACTGCTGTGAGCGGGGGCCTTGCCCCGCCACTGTCCACTGTGAATTTGGCTGCCAACGTGACCTGCAACTGGAAATGCCAAGCACCACACATTCGAGAAAAGCCCTTGCTTTCAAATGCACTGAAATTCCCCAGCTGTCCCCAGCCGACTCCGCAGGCACGCAGTAGGCTATGGGCTGCCCGGGCAGCAGGCTGGCCAGGCTCCTGGTCCAGTTTCCAGGGAATCAAGAGGAATAGTCCCAGGTGCCTTGACTTCAGCGGCCCTGGTGGGACTTGGCTCACAGCAGAAAGGGCCGTTCGGCTTCGGGCTTCATGGTGCTCAGGGCTGGGCCTGTCCTCTGAGATGCGGATGGCTTTAAGAAGTGGATCAAGCCCTGATCCGGCCTCCCTGACCCAGAGAGGTTAGACTACGAGGCACCAGCATAACTCTTGGGGCCTCTGACCCGCGCTAACCCCACCCTCGGCCTGCAAAAGGAGAGTGGCTTGCAGTGCCCCACCTCACTCTGGTGACACAGCACAGGGCTTGGTGGCAAGGGCCACCCCCATCTGTGCAAGCTGCACCTAGCTGGCCCCAAGCCTCTACCCTTGCTCCTCCCTTCCCGCCGAACCGCCTCCCAAACAGGCCTGAGGGCTGGCTGCCCACCCCACAGGGCTCCTCTAAGACAGCCTGGGGCAGGGCATGGGGGCTTTGGAAAGTGGTGCTGAGGGACCGGAACCAGAAGGCACCGATCACTCCTGGAACCAGAGTCCGGTGTCCCACAGGCCAGGGGCAGAAGGACAGGGAGGACTGTGCCCCTGAGAGGGACGGAGCCCAGGTCCCGGAGGAGCTGGAGAGCACTACATCCCCAGAGCCAGGTGCCACTTCAAAGCGCCACCTCTGACCTTGCCAGCTGCAAGGCAGCTGGTTTCTCACTTATAAAATGGACAGTACGGATCTGCCCTCGGAAAGATGCGATCGGGGTAAAGCAAAAGTGAAGGCACTTGGGACACTGGGAGGAAGAGAATGTGAAGACCCCACAGCGGGCTCACAGCCCAGCGACCCTCACCCCGCAACCCAGAGACTGACCCGCCCTATCACAGGCAAGGAGACCGGGTGAGGAGGCCAGGCAGGGAGCAGGAGGGGCCTGGCCACCTGCGCCCTCCGCTGGAGGCTCCTGACTGGGACACTGCTCCACCTCCCCCATGGTGCAGGACTTCAAATCCCGATTACCCTCCGCCAGGCATCTGTTTGCAATCAGCCAGGCCCTGGCAGGGGAAAGGGAGGAGCTGGCCACACGAGAGCGAGCCAGGGCGCCCGAGGACAGCCTAACCCCAGGCCCGACCCAGGCCAGCACTGCCCCTGCCCCGAGGCGGTCCTAGCACAGTGCAGCTGCAGAAATGCAGGGCCCACCCGCCAGGTATCACCTCTGCCCCCATCACCAGGCACGGGAGCCCTCAACTCCTCCAAGCTGAGTTTGTTCATCTGCAAAATGGGCCCAAGGCCAGGGGCCAGTCCACCACCCCACCCTCCTCGCAGCTCCTTCTGGGCCTGGGTCTGTTCCCTGGATGACCCTCTGCCTCCCCACTGCTCGCTGATTCACGCTCATCCCCAACGCATCAACTTCACGCTTTGCAGAGACCCCAGTGACCAGCGATTGCCACACGGTAACCACAGCAACAGCAGCAGCAGAGCAGAGATGCACCGTGCTGGGCACCCAGGGCTTTCCGGCCACAGGACACCGCTTCCTCTGACCCTCATCGACCCCTGCCAACCCAAGTCGGGCACATGCCCCGTCCCTTAGCTGAGCACCCTAACCTGCTCCCGGGCCTCCGAAGCCCTCAGCGTTCTATCCCAAACTCACCTGCCTCTCCAAACTTCCTTTTTGAAGGTCATAGATGACAGGACTGTAACCAAGCTCCATCTAGACACCTTCATCTGCTGGGCCCAGTTTCCCAGTGTTCTAACTCATCATGGAACCTTACATGCGCCCCTTAGACTCGAAGGCCCCAGGCTCCACCCCCAGCCCTAGAAATCCACATCTGCTGGGCAGAGCCCTAGGCCCAGGGAGGCTGACAGCTGGATGGGGCTCCAGGGTCACCTCCCGGTTTCCCTTGTCCTGGGTCCCCTGCTGAGCCCCTCAGGGTCCTCCTCCTCTGGCTCCTCTTGGGCAGAAACACCAACCTGCACCATCAGCCCAGCCCACACCAGAGGCATCTTAACAAGCTCAGCTGTGGCATGATGGTGGCCCACATGGAGGGGACCCCAACTC